CGTCCAAGTTATCTCGAGGTAGGATGCCGAGCTCCGCGTCGGTGTCGCCGTTGGCCACGCCGGCGCGAGACGCCCTGCGTTTCCTCTCCAGCAGAGCCCCCAGCGTTTCGGGGGTGTGGACGATCGGGACAGGATACATCGTTTTCTAGCGGCGTAAGTGAACTGATAGTAATCGTGCCGGGACACTTACGAGTTTTTTAAAAGGAGGGGGGAAGTTGTCGCTTGGTTGCGTAGTAAAAACCCGATACCTGTCTTCCTGATGGTGATGAAAGACCATGTAGACCTCGGTCTCGTGGTCGACGTATAGCTCATACGCCTTTTTCAGCATCGTACCTTCTCGGCTACGACGCCGCTTCACAAGGTTTTTGCGAGCAATATCTGGGTCCTCGTCCGCATAAGACATGTTAGCAGTATCGAGTATCGACGCGCCGACTGGGAATGAGCATAGGGGCCGGAGGAAATGTCGAGGAAATACTCGCCCGACTGCATCGTAAGCATAGGCGGGGTATAAGATCAGGGCTCTTTAATAGCTTGATTGTCTTGGTCGCTTAATTGTCTCGATCGCTTGATCGCCTCGATCGCTTTCCTACTAGGCGGCAGCATGGTAGAGAGCCGATTTATCATATGAGCAAACAGCCGGCATAGAGCCGGCCGCTGAATCAGACCAAAGTTAAGACACCCATCTTTGAAGGTAGGTAAAACTAAGGAACTTTCCTAGGTTGGGCCGAATCAAACGCCACGAATGAATATTAACCGTAGAAATGCCGCGCACTCTGCACCTGAGCGTAGCTACGAATATAGATACAGATTAACGCCACGAATGAACGCCACGAATGAACCTTATGGCCACGAATGAACCTTATGGCCACGAACGAACCGCCACGAATGAATCGCCACGGACGAGCGCCACGAATGAACCGCCACGAATAAATTCTGAACGTTCGGTTTGTAGATATGATTCAAAACACTTATCAATTCTAGCACGTGATGACGAATGCGACTGATGCTCAAGTTGCTGAACGTTCTGTTTGTCAGCACGATGAATTAAAACACTACCTACTCATCAACCAAAAACCCGGGTCAGCGTCAGATTAGGAAATAGTAAGCGATCGTGGCCGCGTCTAGTCATGTCTGCACCCGGATTTCGCATCCGACGAAATCATAAGTTCGTTGCAGAAGACGGAGGCCACGATCAGACTGCTGGACTAGAACGGGGGAAAAGAGCCGAGTCACTAGGAAGTTGCGTGGGGAATGCAGAGGCTGCCATCAGCGCTCATCCAATCGTCGACCTTAGAACGCCTGTCCCGACCACCCATTCCTGACGGGAATGGCTATACTTCGACGCCCGAGTGCACATACCCGTCCGGACTCCACCCCATCACACCTGCAAGCAGGCTGGTCATGATCGATCTGAAGACCGAGACGGAGGGGCCAATCTCGTTCCTGATCATAGGTAAGATTGGGTCGGGTCCAGACCGGCACGGGGGATTCTGAGACCGTCGGGGGACACGACGCCAACCACTATAGGTGTGACTAGCCAGGTTATCTCCCCGCCACCCACTCGTTGATCTTGCATTCGATCGCGGCAGTCTTGATGACGGTAGAGGAAGAGATCGAAGCACGCTAGGCAGGCTAGCCCAGTGGATAAGGTTTATGGGACCGTGTCCAAATGGCACATGCTTCTATTATTGATCCCGGTGTACTATAGGCGTCTATACTTAGGAGAAGTCCACCCGCTGTTCTAGTGCGATCACTCGTTATCAGTCTGCACGACCGTTTCTGCGTTGAGCTGCACGACTGTTTCTGTGTTGAGCTGCATCCCCAACGGTCGCTGCGACAGCCTACAGCCTACCCAAACCTACCAAGCCTCTCGTTACTGCGACGGCGTGCCCGACGATGGCAGGTGATCTGGCACAGTCTAGGCAGCCGTACTCCGTCGACAGCGATAGCGACGAGAGAGATGCCGCCCCCCAGGCCGCCGACACGGACGCCCAGGCGCAACGTAAGAGGGTAAATCGTGTGTTGAGACTAACGCATCGGCAAGCTTCGTTGTACGAGCTGCTCGATGTGAACGCGAACGCGGATCACAGAGATATTCTCGCCGGTTGGAAAAGAGCTATTGTAGGCATCCACCCGGACAAGAACCACGACCCGGAGTCCCTGCAGTGTGCCAAAGGTACGTGCTCACATCGAGCCGCGCCAGCGTCCGGCTAACATGTCCTAGCTATCAATGACGCGAAAGACGTCTTATCGGACCCTAAGAAGCGGGAGATCTACGACCGGTTTATAGAGCAAAACCCCCCGCCCCCCAAAGCTTCCGTCCTAACCTTTGGCGAGGACTTTGCGCCGAACGCGTTCGAGGGCGACGGCAGTGATGATGGTATGGACGAGGACGAAGACGACGGCGAAAACGAGGAGCAGAACTACCCACCGCCAAAAGGTAGAGTTAAGAGGTTGCACCAGAACATGACTCCGTACATCGAGGCATTCTTCGACGCTCTCGAGGAGCCTATCAATTTCATCCTGCTCCACAACGTCGAGAAGATCAACAAGCAGATCGAGGGGGAAAACGCCCATCACGACATGCCTCTCTCGTTGTATACGGTTCCGCAAAAGAAGCTCCTCTTCTACCAGTACGGACAACGTAGGATCTACATGTCTTGTCGAACCGGGCAATTCGGCATCGCAGACGTGCAGAGAGAGACGTCGTGGCTGCAGGCGCACTTCGAGAAGACGCGCCAGAAGGGGCTTTACCGCTGGCCGGCGGCCTGGGTCCAGCTGCTCACGGGGCCCCTGCACCGGGCGCTGGGCATGCTCGGCGTGTCCGTGGTGCAGCAGATGCCCGGGGACGGTGCCCCGCCACCGCCAGACGCCGACGACAACGGCGACGTCGAGATGGAAGATGTAGATGAGGAGGCGGAGCGTAGCCGCCACCAGGACACCGGCAGCCCGATCCAGCCAGTGCGTCGAGGGCGCACGATGAGCGGGGAGACTATCCTGGGGTATGTTCCAACGCAGCGCTGGAGCCACGGAGAGTCCGTGGTCACCAGCATTAGGCTTTTCGTCAAGGTCAAGGGCCGCAATCCGATGAAGGTAGTGTCGGGCGTCGACGATGCTGCGCTAGCCTATCACCAACTCCCTAAACATAAGAAGAACAATATAAAGGAGAACGCCGTCCAGTATGCCAGGATGACACGCACGGACTTTGTCCGTATCGTCGGCATCGCGTGGGTCACGGGCACCAGCCCCGGTCGGCTGCCCGATACCTACGTCTGGGTCGAGACGAGGGCGGCGTCCGACAAGCCGCATATCGTCACGAGGTCGACGCTTCGCGATTGGCTGGGGAAGGGTCTCGCAGATCGACGTATCGAGTCTTGGCTCGAGGAGAAGAAGATCAACCCCGGATGGGCACAAGCAGACAACTCCAGACGTCTGCTCACCTATCCCCCGCAACCTGGCGATTCGAGGTCGCGCGTGCAGAGAGGTGGTACACAGCCACCGCCTTCTGGCGACTACGGTCACGTGGACGCGCTGACTAAGCTCACGGACGTTGTGCTTCAAATGCAGGTCGAGGCACGGGAGGATCGAAGACAGCAGAGGGAGCTGCTTAGAGCAATTCTTCCTGCCCCCGGATCAGGGGCTTAGCATGTCCAGTACTCTCGGCCCACTAGCTGATGGTCTACCGCGTGCAGTAGAAGGTATCTCGTCTCGCGGTACCTACACCAAGAACTTCGGCGCGAAAGCCGGCTTCTAGCTTGTACGTCGCCTTGCCCCAGGCGCCCCAAGTGTGATCACAGTAGCTACAGTGCGGAGTCCTCCAAGACTTCTACATGCTCAATATACACACACCTTACATGGATCATCCATCTAGCACACCAAGCCTCGCGGGCCCACACCAAGGTTATTCCAGTAACGTAGAACAATAGTTGCATACTTTCTCTTTTTTTTTTTTTGCAATTGGTATATGCACTTGGGCGCCCCATTCCAGGCTTGGAAGGCTGCCATCAGCTTTCTGCCTATCATAGTGCTCGCTGCCGGGATCCCACTTCGTCAAGGATAATTAAGTGGTAACACAAATGCCGGAGCTAGGCTATTTCGGCTCTAGGTCCATCTCTCTCACTAAAAACGATCTATCTCATTAGACTCTGCGCGCCTCTTTAGTCGATGGCTGGAGTAGCGACTAGTTAAAATCTAGGTTGTTCTATTTCGTATGTGGCTGGCTTGCGTGACCATGTAGGTATTTGCTGCTTTGTCCTAGGTTGTGTTTTATTTTCCCCCGACTTGTGGCCGAGACTGCCGCACTCCAATCTAATGAGCTAGAAAATACTTAAAGAGCATGAGACATTCTTACGTATGGAGTACGTTGCTCCCTACTACGTAAAGTAGTTTTTATTCAGCTAGGGACGACGGTAACAGGGTAGTACACGTGGCGGTAGCAGGGGGTGTGACCGATCTTACGCTTGGCGAATTGGGCGGTGCAAGCAGGACCTATAGTCTAGGTAGCGAGCAGGCCCGGCAGGGTCGGTTACAGTCGCAAGTGAAAGTAATTCGTTTTCGACTGCCCTCCATCGATTGCAACGAATATTGCGTTTGCATGCAATAGCGCTGACCCTAAACAGTGAGATTTTCTAAGAAGACTAGGCAATCCTATACAAATTGGGTTAGAGTTGGAGCTGTGGAGGTGTGTGTGGAGGTCTTGACTAGGCAGATAAGTCGTGAAATCTGATTTCCAGGTCGGATTTGCAGCAGGACCCATGGATGTGTGGGGGCGTTAGAAATCAACAGTTTGACAGGCAGAGTCGGTCACGGTCGCAATCGAAGGTAATCTGTGGGTACAACAAATTAGCCGTGGCTGCCACCAAAATATAGGTATATGTAGATTACCTGTGGCTGTGGTGGCTGTAGTGGCTCCAGGCAGCAGCAGATTCTAGGCAGTAGCAGATGCTACCGTAGCTAATCAGAACCTTATGTTTTTTTTTACAGCTTTCATACAACAAACAGCCCCAGTGGTGTAGTGGTAGCACGCTGGAGTATCAAGTTTGATTTTAGAAGGCCACGGCGTCTTCTGACATCAAGCTTGATTTTCCGGAGGCGCGAGTTCGATTCCCGACTAGGGCTTCTTCCCATTTGTCTGCTGTCTTAAAACTGCAGGCAAATGGGAACGATTTTTTTTTTGGTGTGCTAGTACTATAGTGTTGGATTTGGCAGCGCACTACGCGCTTGTCCCGCACTATTGAGGAGATCGCTCAATTGATTATATAAGCTAAGTGGCGTAGTGTGGTGGCTGGAGTAGGTGGCTTATAAGCTCCACATGAAACTCTCTGTACAATAAAAGCCTCATAGAAACACAGTAGCGCGAGCAATACACACAGGAGGGACACGCTCTATCACACATCACAAATCTAACACCTAGCCCTCCACACACACATCCTTCGATCTCTTGTTTTTGTGATATTCGTGAGTGCTCGTGAGCCCTAATTGCTGTAAAAATCGATCCCATTTCTCCTTATTCAGAGCCTTCGTGGGGCCATCTGCAATCATATCGCCTGTAGGTACGTAGATCACTCGAAGAGTATCTCTCTCAATCTCCTGACGAAGCCAGTGATTGTGAATATCTACGTGGCGAAGCTTTGTGCGTAAAGTAGTTACTTCCTTCGTAACTAATCCTATCGTCTGTTGGTTATCGCACTGAATCGTGATATGTTGATCCTTCAGAGTGACTCCTAGCTCCTTGATGAGGCGGCTCACGAACATAGCCTCCTTGGCCGCTTGTGCCAAAGCTAGCAGTTCAGCCTCTGTAGTAGAGGTAGTTACTGTATCTTGCTTGTTTGCTCGCCAGCCTATTACTCCTCCGAATAGCCTTATCACGTATGCTTGGGAGCTCTTTGGATCGAGCGTGTTATCTGCGAAGGATGCGTCGCTGGCTACCTCGAGGTCGTCGCTATTACCGAACTGTATATGTAAGGAGGTCTTTATAACTATAATTGGCTTAATCTAACGAATCTAGGGACAGTATATAGATCTACCTCAGTGCGTGCGCGAAGTTAAAAGGGTTAGAAGTAAGGGTATTTAGACTTCTACCTGCTATATACTACAAGAACTGCAACTATAGAAGTACTGTATAACATTTGTTGTTGTAAGGCCCTGTAGCCCTAGGATCGTAATACTAGCAACTACACCTTATTAATCAAGGTTGTCCCATTCAGTAGAGCCGATTGGTTGACCTAAACACCATGATACCAATAATTCCATTATGTAGGTAGTATCCTCTTTGTTGAGATCTAAAATCGGTGATTTGATGATACGGAGATTGTTTGTGGACACATCAACATAGCCGTGTATAACACGGGCCAATCGACCAGAAATCGAGATGACGGTAATCTTTTTGTTTGATTAATATAAAGACAGAGAGACAGAGAGACAGAGAGACAGAGAGACAGAGACTCACGGGAATAACACGATGGCGACGATACTCCCGATGGCGTAAGCGCCGTGCTGTACATAGAAGAATACAGCATATCTCTGCAATAGACAGTTTGTCTTTATGCATCGGCGAGTTATCTATCAGTACAGGCGATACATGTGGTGTATTGCTGTCCATTTTGTCGAAAATGAATTCTACTCGCCATTCGCTTCCTTCATTCTGCTGTATCAGTCGTTCGCCTCCTTCCCAGTCTATCCTATATAATTAATTAGCATAATTTTAAATTAAATTATAGATTTACTTGCCCTCGAGTTTGCCAAGTCGATTCCTCATATATAAGGCCCGAATAATCCAAGTCGTTGGAAAAGCACATATAATGCTGTATAAGATATGTAACCTCTAGGGCGTCGTATATATTCCAACCATCGAGTGTATTAGACAGCTGTCGTGTAGTAAACACTTGTTGCTTGTCCAAAATTGTATGAAGCTTCTTAATCGGAAACGGTGTAATAAAAACAGTAGTCCCATCTGAAGACTTTCCTGATTGTAAATCAAGGTTGGAGCAAGTAATGCTTAGGGGCATAAAATCTTCAGAGTTGATGTACCCACTATGGTAGCCGTGAAGATGTTGAAGAAAAGCTAGGTTTGCTTTCCAAATACTATTCGCTTTCTCCGAATACTTAGAATACTGCATAGCAGTATTCTGTTTAGGTTCGCACATAATAATAGACTTGAAGGAACTAGATCAAATGGAATTAAATCGATGAATTCGATAAAGTAGTCCAAATAAAAGGTTAAATGATATGATATTGTTGATTGTATTGTTTGGAATGGAGTTGGCCCGGTGATTCTACATAATGTGCGACAGCGAAATACCTAGTATGGCTTGCGCCTATTTCGACTAGGTAAGGGTAAGCTGATTCGATAAGACTCCCCAGCTCCCGACAGATAAGTGAGCTAAGGTGAGACAGTGAAATAGCATGGCTTGCGCTTTGTCTTAACTGGGTAAGGGACGCGCTGAGGTGGTGTTTTACGAGGTTAGCGTGCCAAGACAAGGGACCGCTTCTGGCCACTTTTAGGCAAGGAGGCCACTTTGAAGCAAGGAGGCCACTTTTAGGCAAGGAGGCCACTTCTAGATACCATCGCCAGAGCCGTGAAAAGTGGTGGCATTACCTATATTAGCGGTGATAGTACCTGTAGCTACTGCTGTAGAAGGTGGGGGTGTAGGTTACGTTAGCGGTGAGGGCGCTACTGACGGCTGGTAGTCTTGTGAAGCCATCGTTACTGCTTCCAGAAGCGATAGATGTCAGAATTGAACGATGCTGGGAGGCCACGTTCCTAAGCGGACGCCTAGGCACTGCGGAGACGAGGCGCGGTATGGTGACGAGCAAGGCTAAAATAGCCAGATCGTTAAAGAGATCTCCTAGCCATCCTAATAACCCTACAAGAAAACAAAAGTCACGAGCTTTAAGCTCTCCGTACGCAGAGAAGGATACACTCCTTAAACGTGTTCAAAACGGACATAAGTTATACAGAAGAGATTTGCCTCCTCCGCTAAGATTTTACAAGGATCTTGAGCAACACCCTCTGGGTGAAGGCTTCAGACAAGCTGAAATAAACCATCTACAAGGCCATCAAGATATGAAGTCATGGACTGAAGTTGATGTAAGTACTACACGAGGAAAGCTAACACTTGGCTGTATGTGGGTGTACGTGTACAAGTTCAACAAGCACGGCCACTACATAAAGTGCAAGGCAAGGCTAGTAGTTCGAAAAGATCAACAGCCTTAAAACACCACAGAAGCTATATATGCGTCTACTTTTGCAGGACGATCCTTTAGGACCCACATAGCGATCGCCGCTAAGTTCGATCTCGAACTAAAGCAGTACAACGTAGTTAACGCGTTCGTGAACGCTAAACTTGATAAAGAGATCTATATGAAGATGCTTCTAGGCTACAGGAAGCCATAGACCGTGTTACGGCTTAACAAGGCTCTATATGGCCTAAGAGAGTCACTTTTACTCTAGCAGAAGGAGCTAACTTCCACCCTTACGAAGATAGGCTACAAGGCTATACCTCACGAGCCCTGTTGCTACTTACGTAAAGGAGTGCTTATCTTCATTTACGTTAACGATATCATACTTGCTTACAAACGAGATCGTGAACAGATAGCCCAGAGAGCTGTTAAACAGCTTTAGCAGGCTTATTAGATGACTGGTGGCAATGATCTCCAATGGTTCCTAGGAGTTGAGGTTATTCGCAATCGTCAAAAGAGATTGATATGGCTATCTCAAGCCTCGTATCTAGAGAAGATCTCCAAGCTAAGAACTACATCCTCTTCCTTACCCTACACCCCAACGGGCCCAGCAGAACTACTCCCGTATACTGGATTAGCTACTAAGCACGAGATTCACTCGTATTAAAAGAAAATAGGATCGATTATATACGCCGCGGTAATCACCCGGCCCGATGTAGCCTTCAGTGCTTCAAGACTCTCACAATACCTCCTAAACCCTAGTCCCGAACACCACAAGTCAGCAGATCGATTGCTCGGATACTTCGAACAAACCCAATATCACGCCCTACATAAAATTAAAAGCACAGGCACGGGAGTCCTAAACAGAGTTAACACCAAGTTAAAACCTAATATGTTCAGGAAAAAGGGGTTAGGTGTTAAGCAGCCAGCCACATCTTTAATCCCTTTACAAAGACTAGTATAAGCTGATCTAAAAAATTTGCTCTGCAAGGGATAAAATAGTGCTATCTATTCTAAAGAAGAGGGTTACTACGTAAGTGGGCGAGGTCTGTAGCAGAGGCTAACTGCAACACTTAAACCTAACCAACCTACTTAATCACATATTTTTATTCTTATTATTATCTTTTCATTATTTAAAGTTCTACTTTAAGATATTATGTCTTCCCCTAGTATACCACACACCATTTCCCACTGGAAAAACCTTATAAAAAAGGCTTCTTTAGAATCTCAAACCATCTACAGCTGCGATATCAATTTACAATCTGCCTCTAAAGCCCAGCACGAGCAATTTCTTTTGTTACGAGCAATTTATCCTACTCCTAAACCACTGAGCGATCTGAACACACAAGCTAAAAAAGAGCAGTGGTTTACAAAGCACGGGCTTAAGCATGCTAGTAAATCTCTCGAAAAACAAAGCGAATGGAAGCAATATATCTCATCCTGCGCTTCTGCAAAGACACGCGGTAAACCTAACGACTTTGTACATTGCGGTATTTTTTTTAGCGTTCTCTATCAACAATCCCAATTCCTATCAACGTCAACCCATAGCAATCAAAGCGCTTCCCAAAAAATATCGCCATGCACCCCAGTCAACATAAGGACGCGAAGCGCGAGACAGGTAGCAGGACATCCAGAGCCGCAGACGCCTAGCCGCCCTCCTAAGAGCACATATACTCTTAATATATTCAACGATCTAAGCAAGGATCTCGGCGAAAATTTTGACGACTTATGCTTAAATCCTTAGACCCCAGTCCTAAATATTACGAATCAAGCATCTATTGGGGTGTTGGCACTAGTAACGCCGTCCAGCCCTATCAGTATCGAAGAAGCAAAAAATCTATAGTCACAAACCCCTAACGAACAGCTTATCGTTGTAGCGCTTGTTAACTTGTTGGATGCGTTGTTAGCATGTTGCCTAGATGTAGAGGGCTAGAGCG